ATAAAGGCTCTAACAATTCTCAAAGAATAACTTCGTAAGATTTTGTGTTACTCAGTCTTCCTCCAATATATTGAACCATGAAGCCGTGTATGTGCATGTGGTATAAATTAACATCCCAATGAACTAGAGAACATCAGAATTAGGAAGATGGGTTTTGGGGAACTGAGGTCTGGGTGCACAAGGACAGCTTTACTGCTAATTTCTAGCTGTGTGACCTTAAGAAAGTCATTTAACCTCTCTGATCACTGTTTCCTTCATGTGAAGATTGGAGATCATATCTATATATCTGAGACTTGTGGGAGGATTAAATATAATTATGTATGTAAAGCACATCCCATGGTTCTGGCAACAAGAGGATCTTCCCCAAATGCTCACCTATTATTATTTTCATATTATAGGCTATGAAGTTAAGAACCGAATGACTGAGACTTTCTGGGCCCCAGGAGACAACGTAGCTCTCCCTATGTTATGAACAGATAGAACTCACTGCCTACCTTGAAATATTTGTTAAGCATCGTATGGGAAGCCTGGGAGTTAGTGGGAGATTTTCTACCTCCTTCTGTCCATCCTTCCGTAAGAATGTATGCTTGGCATTGAATGACTCCCTGCAATTCATTCGCAACACAACAGCCAGAGGGATTCTTTTAAACCAGAGGTGAGAGCATGTCACTTCTCTGTGGCTCCCCACCTCACTCAAAAGAAAACCCGGAGCCTTCATAATGTTCTCTGTGTTCTATGTCATCTACCCTGCCAGTGACTAGTTTACATCATTTCCTACTATTGCTTATTCTGCTCTGGCAAATAGACTTCCTAGCTGCTCTTCAGACATGTCAAGAACACCTGAAGGAAACTCAGGACATTTGCACTTGCTGGTCCCATCACCACATTATCATTCCCCCTTATCTGCATGGTTCTTTTCCTTCTACCTTTCGGGTCTTCACTGAAATCCTTCCTCCTTACCCCTGGTGAAACTTGCATATATCCCTATATATCCCAGCACTCTCCAGTCCTCTTGGTTCCACATTTCTTTATGACACCTCTGATATTTGCTTGTTAGTGTTTGGTTTCTTGTCTGTTTCTATCCAATGAAACATGAACTTCATGAAAGTCAAGATTTTTATCGCTTTTATTTTCTACCATAGCTTAGAGTCTAGGATAGTGCCTGGCACATAGGAGATGCTCAATAAATGCTTACGGAATAAATATGTGCAAGAATTGCATGCCTTTTGTTGCTGTAGACCAACTGCATTTCCTCTGGGCGATTTGCTGAAGCATGAAACACACAATTACAGGCTGATCTCTGTGGTTTTTATTCATGTTTTCTGGGACCCATCGAACAAAAAAAAACCATACTTCCAAAAATAAAATTCTTTCATACAATAAAAATACTCAGTTTGAATTTCACATAGTTTGAAGGATAAGATTTCTGATTTTTTTTTAATTTTTATTTATTTATTTATTTGACAGAGAGAGGGAGATCACAAGTAGGCAGAGAGGCAGGCAGAGAGAGAGGGGGAAGCAGGCTCCCTGCTGAGCAGAGAGCCCGATGTGGGGCTCGATCCCAGGACCCTGAGATCATGACTTGAGCTGAAGGCAGAGGATTAACCCACTGAGCCACTCAGGTGCCCCTGATTTTTTTTTTTAAATAGTGGTAGTAGGATTGTTTCCCAGAAATTGTCGACCCAGAAGCCAAATGGGAGAAAAGCAAGAATTATGCAGGTAGTTACAGAAAGATTAATCCCAATTAAGCTAAACTTGTGAGGGTTTATACGTTTCAATGGTTCATAGGCACAGTCTCAATGGGTTTTTATTAAATGCTCTATCTCCTATTCCAGAAAAGCCATCCTGAGAACCAGTGCTGAAGCTAATCCAGCTCTGGTATTGTGACTACGATGCTGTTCCTTCTTTCACAGCGCATGTATCCATGCAACAGTGTCCTGTGGAACATCTCTTACGTTCTGTAGAATTAAAGATGCTCCTCACATAGATGGCTCCATTCTGTGCCCACAGTAGGCACTCAACAAATGATTTTTTTAACTATAAAAGAATAAGATAATTGCCTTTCCCTCTTACTATTTTACCTTTTCCTCTATTGTATAGATTTGAAAAGCAACACACTTGCAAAATTAAAATCTAATATGCACGACTAACCTTATCAAAAGATCCCTTTTTTTCAAAAAGACAAAAATATATATATAAACCAACCCCCAAACACTAGAACTGCTTTACACTTAAATAGCAATGTACATCATATAAACACATTCATAACCTTCATTGGTTAAAACAGGTCAAAGGTCCATTACTGGCTTCTTGTACCAGATAAGTCTCACAGCTCCTAACAAGGGAACAGAATTCTCATTCAACATATGTTGACTGGTGGAACCAAACAACCTGACTGTTTGGTTTCATTTCAGGACAAGTAGGAAGGCAAAGTAAAAAATCTCACAGTAGAATGCTCATCTAATACATAATATGTTCTCGAAGTTTTGGCCATTGTGCTCTTATTCCAGTAAAGAAATGATTCACATCCCAATTGTGGATATGGAGAAGTCTTCCAGAAGACGTTCATTTATTAAGTCAATATATACTTACCAAGGACTGAGCCCATGCTAGGTGCTGGAAAACGATATGGATAAGATCTAGTTCCTGCCCTCTAAGAGCTTACAGTCTAGAAAGGCATGAACTTTGAGGAAGGACCAGCATGTTCAAAGGAAAACTCATCACCTGGATCTGCCCTGTTCAGAAGGCAAGTTTAAGAATCTGTGGGTGTATGTCTCTGGGATCCAGGATCTTGCTCAAATTTCAAGAAAAATATCCAGGAGACTCAGATTATGTGAGTCTGGTAAAATCTTAGCAACACCTTTCTTGCCTCAGATTCCCATGAAAATGGCAAAAAGGCTTAAAACCTAAGCCTTGGAGCTCAAGGAGACCAGGTGTAGGGATGTTGTGAACATCCAGCAGAGCTAAGCTTCTTGAGCAAGAAGCTGTGAGTCCCCAAGAGACCGGGGTTTGTGGGGAGGCTTCACTTGATGCTGGCTTATCTCTGGGATTTTGCTCTCCCTTGCAACACTGTGGTGGGAAGTACTCTGTTCACACCCCAAGCTGGCATGGCTCAATTCCCTTGAGTTCTCCAAGTCACGAACATCACATAGAAAATGCATCAACTCAAGCCAAGACAATAGAGAGATATGCTGAGAACTTAATACTCCAGCCTATTTAAGCAGGAACTGGGTGCCAAGAAACCGTCACTTTCAACAAATAGCACAATCTGTTAATTATCTGCAGAACTGTTCCAATCGGTACTCCCCAGATTTACTTACTGCTGAGCAGAAATTGCTCTTCAGGGGGAGGGTGCAGAAAGAGCCAAGGCCAATTTGGAGGAATGTGAGAAACTTGCAGGTTTGGGGAAGGGTGAGCTCTGGGAAGGATCTAGCGCCTCCCCCCACCTCCCCATCCCCGCCCCATGATGAATAGGCAAAGCCCGGGAAGAAAGAACAGAGAACGAATTAGCAGACGTCCCTAATAGCTCCACACGATTCAGATGCACACAGACATGCAAACATTTATGCATTTATACCAGTTCAGATGTTTAGATGTTTAATTTGTTCCAGGTGAAACGTAGTAAAATGCTGGAAAAGCCTCAGAGTCCTTCAGCTTCGCTGGGAAAGCAAGGTGTGTCTTTTAGGCAGTGTGCTGCGGGTCTGTGTGGCTCATTGTTATTTCTCTCAGGTCCCTCGGTAACTGTTACTTGACAACACCCAGTAACACCTCTGTGGAAGTGACCAAGCCAGGCAGAAGCAAAAACGGACTTGGTTGTACCTTCAGAAGATCATCTCGCTAAGCTGCCGCTCCAAGGTCACCGTCCGTGTGGTTCTCGTTATGATCAGGACAAATTCTTAATTCTTACTTCCAACCTTCTGAATACATTACAAACACTCCACAACCTTTGACTATGACTCGTTCACCTTTGCTGGGTGAGACACCGCGGTAAGTGTTCTATTCGTTGATGACATTACCTGTCTCCATCCCCATATTATTGCTCAAAATAGAGAGGCAAAAGGGGGGAGAAAGCGAAGGATGTGGGGAGCCAAAAAGAAAAGATGCAAAAGGGATCTCAGGGTTCAAATCCATTTTCAAAGTGTCTACAGGCTCATGTTTCTCCCAGGCTGCAAGGCCCAGGAGTAAGTCTCCAGGCAGCCTGGAGCAATGCCACTGGAGAAATCCCCAACTCCTTACTGACCATAGCCCCTGAACTGAGCATTCTGTTTCTCTTCCATCTACCTTTCTTTTTTCTGTCTTTAAAAAAAAAAAAAAAATCCTCTGGACACAAATCTAGGCAATACAACATTCACTTTGGGATGAGTCCAGATAAGACAGGAAAGAAATTATCCAAAAGAGCAAAGATTTTCCCTGGATATCTCTCGCTCTCTCTCTCTCTCTCTCTCCCCCTCTCATTCTTCTCTCAGCATTTCCTTTTGCAATGTAATTTTTACTCTGCTTTGTCATTCTAGTGAAATGTCTTCTATTATAATTCTTGTTACATTACTCTGTTTAACTTCTCTGACTTTGGCTCTCATCTGGGATTCTGAAAATCCCCTCTAGATTTCCCATTTCTAAAATTCCCATTGTCCCTAATATTTTAAAACGTAAAAATTGATTGACTTTGAAGTCTTACTTTTACTTCACTCTGGGAACTGAAAGATCTACACATATTTTTGTTCTGAGAGTAAATCCCTGTCTTCGTCTCGGCGGGCTGCCTCAGTGGTTCTCAATCAGGGACAATTTTGCCCTTTTTCAAGGGAAATGTGGCAACATCTGAAGATGTCACAACTTTGGGGAAGGGAGGGCACTGGCATCCAGTGGGTAAAGGTCACAGATCACAACCTACAAGCACAAGATAGCCAAATAATGCACAAAAAAGAATTACTCAGCCAAAAACATCCATTTTGTTCATCGAGAATCGATGGGCTGTAGGAATACAAGAGCAAACTCATCACCACTTCCTTTTTCCCATTTATTTTCAAACAATTGGGATTGAAAACAACCAAGGCTAAACTCTCTCTTAAATACCTAGAAGTGAGCAGAGACGGCATTTGAAGTTTTTTCCCCCAATCATCAAAGAGGGAGGGAGAGAGACAGCCTTGGTGTCAGGTAAATCATTCTTGAATGAGTAGAAAGCCTTCACCATTATTCTGCTGATTTAAGCATGGCAAGTCATGTGATTATGAAGTGATTATAGTCCACTTGGATTTTGGAAGTCTTCATGCTCCCCTCACTGGCTCCAAAAGGTCAGGTTAAACTTCCCAGCATCCTTGGGTTCACCCTGTCAATCTGAGACCTTGGAGTTCACCTTAGTGACCTCTCCCGCCTCTCCCGATGAGGCCATGTGGATGCTTACACACAGAGGACATGTCACCTTTTCCTAATATAAAAACATTTAATGCCCTCTAATTTTTTTCTCTTTCTCTTAGCAAGAAACACAAGGCTACAAATCCTGCCCTTCTTGCCGTGGAAAGGAACTTCACGATAGAGGCAAAAACAAATCACGACCACATACAGCATCATATTTCACAGAAAACTGTGTACGTTTGTCCCCCATATAGGACATACTTCAAAGTAACAAAATAATTTTATCAACTGTAGTGTTCCTTCTTCCCATTAGAAGTAGATGGTTTTCCCCCTCAAGGTACATAAATATCAGAGAAAAGTAGTCTTTGAAATACTTATGTCCAGGAGCTCTTGGCTGGCTATCATTTGGGGGAATGTTTGGGTTCGTGCTCAAAGTGTTGGCAGGTTCAGTTTTCATTTTCTCGCCATCCACGTGCATTCTTCCCAAATTTGTATACGAGTCTTCTTCCGTCTACACGTTCCAGAATTTCTCTTTTGTAGTAATATCTGTAACAAAGGACATCACATAAGGTGGCCATTCAGACAAAGACCACCAGGGGAAACAAGCGGTCACAGTCAGGGCTGGAAACACCTTACCTCATCGCTCGGCTGAGTTTTTCATAGGTCATGCTGCTGTTGTTTTTCTTTTTGCCCCATAACTGAGCCACAGCCTCTGATTTCAAGAACCTGAAGATGCCCTCAGACCGGTCTTCCCACTTGATTAACCCTGGGTTCTTGTCTGGGTTCAGGAGGATGTCACGGATGAATTCCCATAAGTGGGTCCCTCGTGGATCTGAGGACAAGTTGGAAAAGGAATTTATAAAGGGCCTAAGTCACAGCAAAGAAGGGGGAGAGGAAGCATAGAGTTGCCACATCTTCTATCAAGGAGAACATACTCAAATTTCCCCTATCCACCGGCACAGTCAGATCACAGAATCACCATATATTATATCTTTTAAAAGGGCATTTGAGAACGAACTGGCACAATTGTTTAGTTTATACATCAAGAAACGGAGACACAGGGGTGCCTGGGTGGCTCAGTGGGTTAAAGCCTCTGCCTTCGGCTCAGGCCATGATCCCAGGGTCCTGGGATAGAGCGTGCATCGGCTCTCTGCTCAGTGGGGAGCCTATTTGTGATCTCTGTCTGTCAAATAAATAAATATTTATTTATAAATAAATAAATTATTTATAAATAAAATCTTTAAAAAAAATAAGAAAGAAAAGAAAAAAGAAAAAAAAAGAAATGGGGAGACAGAGAATTCAAGTGACTTAACCAAGATCACCCAATTAGCTAGTGGAAAAGCTAAGACAAAGGAATAGATCTTAGACCTCCTATGCCAGGGAAATCTCTTTTAATTACTGGAGGATTCCTTGCTCAGGATTCCTTGCCATCTGTCCTTTCCCAGAAGAGCAAATTTCAACCACTTTCATTTAGAACCTCAGCCCAGGTAAAGCACTCTCACCCAGCAACTGTGGTTGGGTCAAATGCATGTCAGCAGGGCTCTAGAACTCGAACTCCTAGATTATACTGGGACAGGATCTGGTAGGAGTTGAGGGGGCCAATTTGACAATGAAGCAACTACTACAGTAAGATTAGCAACAAAATCCTACTTGACCCCCACAAGACCTGCCCTATACAACCCCTCCCTGCCATTTACTGTGCTGTGTTCATTCAGTTCTGGGGAATGACATGGAGTAACAAATAGTAACAATGTCCAATTGATTTCTTTCTGAGCCCTCCCCTCCACGTCTCTGACAGCTCCTATATTTTCATAAGGTTTTATTATCGGGGGAATGACAAATTCCCAAGAACACTGTTGACTATTAAGAGTAAACAGTCCTTTCTTAGATCAATCACTCAACAAAGGTAGGAAGCCAACAGTCAACAAAAGAGAAAAAGAATACATCTCCATTGTCTCTGCTCATCTTCTCTTCCCATCCATTTTTCTGGAGAGAGCGAAATGGCTAGCCTCGTGCCTGCAAGCAGTTCTCACTCACTGGGTATCTCAGTTTTCGAACAAAAAGAACAGCACAGGGAGAAAATATCCAGGGCATCTCCACTTCGAGAAACTACGGAGAGACACTGTGCCCGTGAGGGGTGCTCCCACTGTCTCACCCTAAACAGGCTGAGATAAATAAGAGGAGGGGACAGGCAGAGGCAATATTTGCATAAAAACTAGGGCCTTTGGTTACACCCACCCTGAGGGGAATGGGCAACCGCCACCAGAAAGCCAGCCGACTTACTGTGCTTTTTGGCGTGGGACTTTGCAGGGTGGTCTTGCTCCTTTTTCATCTCAGGTGACTCTGCTGAAAGGAACAGTGAGAGCTGCTTAATTTACCTGTCACCTACAGTCATCCATGCCACTCATTCATCCAGTCATTTAATTGATATTTATTGAGCACCTACTACATGCCTGGCACTGTTTGCGTGTGTGGTATATGAGCAGAACAAAACAGATGATATGTACTATGAAGAAAAATCTTGCAGGGTAAGAAATGAGATAGGAGTGTGAAGGTGGAAATAATTTGTCATTAAATATAAGGCAGTCACAGAAGACATCTCAGAGAAGGGGACCAGAAGATGTGAGGGGGACAGCCAGCCATGCACAGAGCTTGCAGAAGAACTGCCAATGAATAAGAACAGTAAATGCAAAGGCCCTGAGGTCAGTATGTGTTTGGTACATTCAGAGAATACAAGGATGCCAACGTGACAGTAAACAAGGGGCTGAGGTTGAGATCAGTAAGGCTTTGTGGGACTCTTTTTGGATTTTAGCTTTTATTCTGAGAGAGATAGGAAGCCACTGAAGGATTTAGGACATTGAAAGAAGTATGTGTGTGTGTATGTGTGTATATGTGTGTGTGTTTTTATATAATACAAAATGTAAACACTTATAACAAAGAAAAATGGCTTTTAAGCCAGAGGAGTGCCCTTTTTTGGCATGCAAAGTTATATTTTAATCAGTCTGACAAAGGGGCCATTGACTGGTCTGCACTCAGTACAGAGGGCCACCAGTGGACTATGGAAACACAGATTAGTTAACAAATGACTCATTATGGTAACCCTTGTGAGTATCACCAAAGACACAATGACAGAGGCAGATCTGGTGAAATAAAACTTCTTAAAAAGAAAAATAAGTGGTCTAGTGATGCCTGTGTGCACGTATGTGTGTGTGCGTGTGTGAGTGGGCACTTCAGGCATCAGGAAGACCAAGGCATAGTTTACCAAAAAATCTCTCAATCAGTAACCCAGCAATCTGAATACAGAGCAGTCCCTAAATGCAAGCCAATCCTGTTAAGCAACCGGGCCGGTAAAATGCATCTCCCAGTGCATAGTACATCAGCACTTCCTAAGCTAGGGTTCACTGATGCCCGTGTGGCCTTCAGGGCATTATGGACTGACTGAAACTGCATGTAGATGGAGAGGACCCATGGCATTCACTTCATTGTCAAGAGTGGCTGATGATTCGAAAAAGTTAGAATAACCGTTAGCTCCTACATACCACGGTTAAGAAGAAGCGCTACTGTTTACTGAGCCCTTACTATGTGCCACCACTGTGCTAGGCTTGGTACAAGAATGACCTGGTCACCTCACTCAATAGGCTTCTGAGGTGGGGACTATTACGAACCAAAGATCTGTATAGGAGCTGAGACACAGAGAGATCAGGTGACTTGTCTAAAGTCACACAGCCTGAAAGTGGCGCCAAGATGTGAAGACACATGATTTGAATCCAGAGGCTTCAGTCACAACCACCATTCAGAACCAATCCCAGAGACGATGGCACGTAAGAGATTTCACTGAAGTCTTTCCTGCCGAGAATCAGGCTCAGTTCTCCAATGCCCGAGTTCGTGGGAAAAAGTCATTCCAGCTCAGTGATTCTGGATTCCCCAGCATGCATGGACACATCCTCACACACAGTCACCTATAGGAGCACCCGGCTCGTCACGGCTCAGCGTTCCCAGCTGTTTCTCCGCGAGCCATGGTAGGAGGAGGACAGGGATGTCATAAACTCTGGTCAACTGAAAAGCCTCTTCTTCAGGTGGAGGATCTCTCCCCCCACACTGTCGGCAGGCGGGCCTGCACCTGACTTGGGTTTCTCTGAAATCTGGAAGGGCAAATTCGCAGGAAAGGCAAGGAGACTCCGCTCTCCTGCCCTGTAGGTTTCAGGGTGAGATTGCGACATCCCGTCAGGATGTGACAATATTGCGACAGGTCTGGCACTCACCCCGGTTTCCAAGTGATACATCACTCTGACAGGGCCGCGTTGTTCTGCGGACAAAGGGTGGCATTTACCCAGGAGGCCACAAGCAAAGTTCATTTTCCAGAGGCATCCAGAAGGGATACAGGGCCATTACTTCAGAGCCAAGGTTGAATTCATGAAAACTCAAGGGTTTTTAGCGTATTGGCCTCCATCATTGTTCAGGCATTTCGAGCTGTTATAGAATCAGTTACTTTGGGGGCTCAGGCACCTTTGTGACTAAGAAGGAAACCGTGGACCCTCTCCCCAGAAAAACACACGTAGGTGTATCCTTATGAGAATCTGTAAGCAACTTCAGGGATCTAGGCTTTCTCAACGAGTCCGTGGACTCCAGACTTAAAGACCCCAGACAGACAGACCATAAGGGAATGTTCTCTGTGAGATGCCAGCCATTTACCCAGAATGGACCTCCATCCAGCTTCAAGAAAAACCAAAGACAGAAAACAAAATAAATCCCCCAATAAAAATGTTTCCATCATCACACGGAGGAATATGCAGCCAAAGGCAAAAGAAACTCGGATTTCTTCCAGCCTCCTCTTCCCGTCGCCAGTGTGTGTGGGCAAGCTGTGGGATCACCGAACCTGCCTTGGCACTGAAGTCTTTTGATCTGAAACCTCCCCTTAATACGATGGCCTCTCCCCCCCGTGTCTTCCCCTCACCCTAAAATAAAAGCCAAAAGCTTTGAAGTTAGCCATGTGGTTAAGTGATTCACTCCTGTAAAATAATGGCTTGCTCTGGGGAAGTCGTCCGGCCCGGCTTTCTCTCGCTCTGCTCCCAGGCACCTGAGGCCGAGGTCCCGTCTGGGCAAGGGGAGCACCAAGCCACGGGTGTGTGACGCAAGTGCCAGGGCATGACTTCAGCTATGCCGCTTTGCAAGAAGCGAAGATTAGAAGCATTTGCATGTGATTCAGCTGTGAGCCATTTCTTTACGGGATATACAAATGTCAGTGTTATAAGAGACCATGACACCCTAGCTCTAGGCTCAATAAGTCAGTGAATAAACACATCAAGCCCGAGTTGGCGTGATTGGCTCGAGGACTATCGGGCAGATCAGGAACATGGGCAGCGGCCATTTTGTGAAATGGGCAGATGACAGAGAAATCAAAACAAAGCCCGCTTCCCCGCCTGCGTTTATCACAGAGGGTATCAGTTTACGCCGAGCCTCGCCTGCTTGGCTTGTAACTTGCTTTAAAGCATAGCAAGATGTTTAACTGCACCCGATTTCATGGGAACTTGAAATCTACAGACTCCGACGAATGACAAAGGTCCTTTTTTTAGCGGGGGTGGTGTTCTGGTCCCCTCCAGTAGAGATTAAACCTTTCCGAAAGGAATGGACCCCCAGGCAAGGCTGTAATTAACTAGCCTTCTGGAGGACCCAGGGCTAGTTAATTACTCCAAAGAAGCTGCCAGCCCCAGACGCTGTGTTGACTCTATAAGGAATAATTCCAGTAGAGGTCCCCGGTTTCTACACCGTGTTACAATCCAAGGATAGGAATGGGTGACAAGGGAATCCAGGGTCAAGGGAGATAAAGGAGTGCAGATCTGCAAAGCCCGTTTTAAGGATTATTTAAAAATGGAATAAGGGGACAGTGAGTTCCTTATTCCTGCAGATATGAAAACAGAATGGTCCCGTGTGGACTGTGAAATTCTAGAGGGTTAAGTCAGGACACAGAAGAGAGAAGGGCGGCCAGGCAGAGAGGGCAGGAGGGTTGTGCCTATGGCTCTTCTGTTTTCCAGGTACCTCAGGACCCAACAGACCCCGAGGCTCAGGAAGTGGTCGGTGAAAGTTTATTCTAAGCTGCAAATTTTTGCCATAAGCCAGAGACAGAACTGGAAGGACACAGGAGGTGCCACCTGATGAGGTGGGAGAGAAAGTCAGAATGTGACCTGGTGGTTTCCTTGGTTCTGAAACCCTCAGTCTTGACTGGGTGACAATGATTGTTGCAGAAATTCCACCCCCCCCCAATCTGCTCAGTTCCCCCAGAATAGCAGACCCACTGCAGAGCCTTCCCAGTATCTGATCTGTTTCCAAAGTTGAACAAAAACTAAGAATGACACCTAACACGGTACCCACTGTGGGAAGTCGAGAAACGAATTGCCCTTCGTTCTTAACCTCAATTCTAGAACCACTGACATTGGTTCCCATCCCTGTTTCATTCAAAACCTCAAAACCTCATGATTTCATTTCTTAAAAACACACTGAACAAAAGCAAAAACAAGGGAAGTTTTCTGGGGAGGAGAGGCTGTGTGATTCCAAGTTCCTTCACAGGCATGCGTTTAAATCCCGATTCTGAAGATGCCCCAGCTTCAATTCCAGGAAAACAGCAATTGACCCATGACAAGTCTAAGCTTCAAATCTCATAGACCCAAGCGGTTTTACAAGTTCGCACCCAGGTCAAGGGACACCACAAAACCCTCTGTTCACCTCCCCTGTGCATTCATGCTCACAGGGCACATGCCAATGGGCTTCTTTGTAAGGGGAGGGGGAATTGTCATCTGAAAGCCCCTCTCTGGACTCACGAGGGACCAACCCTCTCAGGGGAACCTTGACTGGGAGTCAAGTATAGCCCCCACTTGCATCCATTTTTAATCAAGCACAACTATCGTCAATGTAATTCATAAAGTGCAGGGGTTCTGACTAATGAGAGTCTTAATGAGCCATCAGGGTTCAGGCTTAAAGGCTGATCTGTGATAGACAGGGTTCTAGAAATTTCCAACAGCTACCCCACTACCCAGAGATTATCGCTTCGGGTTCTCTGACCTTTGAAGGCCACTTTTAGGTTTTCTTTCTCTGAAGTCAGACATAGTTTGTTGAAGATTCAATACAGCCTTCTTCCCCCATACATAGACCCAAGTCTGAACACTTTTATCAGATAATTCCCTAAGAGCAAGCTTTTGCTGAAAGGATTTTTTGTTGTCACGAGAGACTGACTTGATTTCACAAGGAACAAACACTTTTCCTAGAGGCTTCCTTGCTGGTCATTTTCAAAGTACAGATATTGGCTCAAAAACAGACCTTTTAAAAATAGTAATTCCATTCCCTTCCCAGTGTTTTAACAAGAAAGACTCCAGCAAAGTGGAAACGTAGGGTATTGTGATTCTCATTAGTTTTCAGTAAGCACTTGCACGAGGCACCCTCAGCCCCTGATGTCAGGACAGCTTACCGACAGGAAGGTGACCCATGCTCGTCATGGAGATCTGGGCCCGACAAAACGTCTTGCTGTCCAACAAATCTGTAGCAATGAAATGACAAACGACATTAAGACCCCCCTCCTTAGAATGTAATTCTGTGGCTGTTAGAAAACAGAATAAAAAGAATGTCAAAGGCCCTTAAGTGTTGGGGAGTTAGTTACCTACTGTGCTACCATAGTTGGTGTCATATAAAAAGTTTTCTTCTTTCCAGGTGTTCATGATGGAAGGGTCTACAAAAGACAGAAAATGGGAATGGTCAGCCATCATATTTTCCTAGGTGATGAGTTTGCCTTTTCTAACTCACTGCTCATCGGAGAGGTGCTGGACCTTGTGGGTGGTCCTCTGAGAGGCAGGATAACATTCTGCTTCTACCACATGTTATTTTATAAGAATCTTAACTCCTTTTTCTTCCAGTGTCCAACGGGAGATGGGCTTTGTTTTGGCCCCAACCGTGTGTTCTACACCTACGCCTCTTTAGAAAGGTGAAGGGAACAGTGTAGTGAGACCCTGTCCTAGGTCCATGCTTTGGCTTCCTGGGGATCTTCCCAGCATGCACACAGCAGGCAGTGGGCTCTGGAGCCTGGCCTCGTCCTGCCTGCTATTGTATAATCACCAGAATAGAAAAAGAAATTATTATGGTCAAATAATTCTTAATTAATGACCATCGTTTCCTAGAAATATCTTCCTGGGAGAATTAATGTTTCTCTCAGGAAAGTCTAGTCAGTCTTTATCATGGTGTTTTCATGACTGAAATTCTGAAAGCTCTCCCTCCAGTGGAGTGACACCCCCCTTCCTTCAGCATTTCTCCAATTAACTCAAGCGATGACATAAAATTCTCAAAACAAAACAAAGGAGAAGGCAAAGAGAGTGTTACCAAATCAAGCAGACAACTTTTAAGAGGGAAGCCCCATTGCCTCATCTCTGAAAAAGAAGAGCACTCCCTCTCCCCCCACCACACCCCTGCAGAGGGCTGGGGAAGCATGTCTGACTCTTTGGATTTCGGATTCCAAGGAAACTCCCGTCCACCTACCCCAAATGAAGCCCAGCTCCTACACAACCCCCACATCTGGGCTGATCTCCAACAGGAGCATATTCTTTCCTGGCCAAGAGCTGTGAGACCGGGCAGGCGTTCTCACCTCGTCCCCACCAGGAACTTCCTGCTTTCCCCCCTTCACAGACGGAGGCTGCCCTCAGCTCCCCTCCTGTCTGCCTTCTGAATTTCAGGGTCAGGGTGGTAAGCCACTGGCCGAGTTTCATTTTGTTTTTATAGCATAAATAATATAAAGCCTGACTCACCGGCTAAGTCCTCCTGTTTACGACATAGGGATTTAGCTGGTATTTTAACTAATAGCTACGTGTTTGGGCACCCCGAGCCCGATCTCTTGGGGCTACACCCTCTCTCCTCGTTGGGTCACCTCGTACACCTGTTGTTGTCTCTGAAAACAAAACTGAACCGAAAAGGTTTGGGGGGTGTTGGCCCCTCTAAGAGCCTCTTCTCCCCTCCTCCTAGGGTGGACCTTCTTCTCCACCCCTTGGCTCAGCTTTTCTGAACTGGCAACACGAGAATGTCTGGACGGTCAAGGAGGAATTACTAAGTTATTTGGGCCCTCTCCAACACCAGCAGGCTCCTCCAGTGGGGCTATCCGTCAGGTCCAGGTGGGAATGAGGGTGGAGCCCCAGCCTCTGGGCCAAATCCTGTGTCTGCCTCTAGGGCAGTCAGACCCAGAAACACAGGCCATCCGGGGAACCCAACCCCTGGCTTCTGCGGTGGGTGGGGGTGGGGGTTGTGCAGGGCGGGGTGGGGGGCAAGGCCAGGAAGACCTAATGAACATGCTTAACAGCTATTGCTTTTTCTTTAATAATGGTGACTAGCCCCTCATAAAAGAGTAAATAACTGCATGGAGCCAATTTCAGCCCCTAGCAACTCCCAAACCACCCCGGGTCAAATTCTGTCCGTGGTGACCCGTATGCACACCTCAAGGAGGCCTGTGGTGACCTCAGCCATCCGACATGGATCGCAGTCTCACTGCTGTAGATGTGGGGAGCGACTCTGGGGCAGCGGTGGTCTTATCATGGCCAGGGGACCCTGGGGGACTTACGGAGCTCTCCCTGGACTGAGAGGTCATAGGTCAAAGGTCAACATGCAAGAGCTCTAATGGATGCAAGGCGAGGCCCTGGGGCACATTTCTCCAGGCAGTACTGCCTGCCCCTCCCCCTCACCACCACCACAAGTCCAACAGGTCCCCAGGAGAAGGATTTGGGACAGAGAAAGGAGGACTGATTGGATCGGGATAGGAGAACAAAAAATAAACGTAGATCTATGAGACCACACCCCCTACTCAGAGTCCAGAATAGTGTCATTTGTCTAAAAGTGCACCTGAGGTAGGGAGTGGGTTCCGCAGCTGCTTTTGGATGTCCCCCAGACCCTCCAGAAGCTACAGAAACTGCAACAGCAAATCTGTAGTTTCCTCCTTTTTGGGAAATGCACTCCCACCAAAGGACGAGCGGGGAGGAAGCGCTGGACTTTTCTCTTCTCTCCCCTTGTTTCTCCTAACTTGGCCCAGCCCAGGACCCTGACTCTCTTTGTGTGAGAAGGAGGCCCTCCCAAACCTTGCATTTTCCCCAGCTCTTGGACTCCAGCCTGGATGATGCCTTAACCAGCAGCAGGAGGTATGGACAGAGGTGTGGACAACTTCAGTCTAGATCAGAAATAGTTGGCAGTCCCTGGTCCCCAAGGCAAGGAACGAGACTCACGGTGGGGTGGCCCATTGGAGAGAGCCAGGGAGGAAGCACCCCTTGGCTTCCTGCCAGAGCACTAGACTTGCCCTGCTCCCACCCTTTCCTGACGCCCTCCCAGCTGTCCTCCCCAGGCTTGGCCTCCCAAGTTGGCTACTCACCACTTTGTTCTGTCTTGACGATGACATTGTGTGTGGACTGGAACAGGTCGCTGCTGCACTGGCCTGTGGAGGACAGATGGGGAAAGTCAGAGCCGGACAATATGAAGCCAGAACTAAAACCAGCTGCAAAAGGTCCAACAAGGACAAAGCTGGCCTCTTGGAAGGGTTTCTGCCAGTCCTGCCGCCTATCCACCTCTGTGTGCTTAGGTCAGCGGGCTTCCCTCTCAGCATTTATAAACTGGAGCCTGGAGTCCCTGGCCCCGAAAAGCAGGAACTGGGGCATCTACATCCGATGCAATTATTTGACCATGTCGAGGGAAGCCATCCCAGGATGGTGGAAATAGAACTTAAGAAATCAGAAGGCCAGTTTTCCCACTGATAGTCACAGGCACTTGGCCTTTCTGGCTCTTGGTTAGCTCGTCTGAAAATGGAGGGGATTAAACCAGATAAAGCCAGTAAAGGCCTCCAAGGTGCTTTCTCCTACTAATATAGATACAAGAAGAGAGCAAAAATCCAGGAAGAATCATTTTCATCAACTTGATTCTTCTTCGATCTTAAACGTAATCAAACCCATTTTGATTAGATCCAATCTATGAAATATATCTGGATAAATGAAGCAATACTCCTCTTTTATGCCTTGCAACTCCTCTCTTGGAGATATATATAGATATAGATATAGATAGATATATATTTTATATTTATATTTTTATATTTATATATCAAATATAAAAGCATATATACACCACACATGTGAATGAGTTTAGCATGTTTTTTCCTCCCCAGCCAGGTTTTTACAAATATCTCAGGAGCAGAGGTCATAACTTTAACCTTTCTGACCTTCATGTTTCCCATCTGTAAAATGGGTACAATATTTATTTTTTCATAAGGTTATTAAATGAATCAATTCACTTAGAGTGTCCAGTATTAACACTCAATGAATATAAGCTAATAGAATGTCTACAAAAAGGCGAACAATGAAACAAAGGAGAGAAATCTGGTCATTAGACAGTCAGAGGCACCGACAGCATGAAGTGGGGACAAAGAAGTTATGCAAGGGCAAAGAGGGAAGGTCAAAGACGGCCACCGCCCTTTTGCTCTCTGCCTCCTAAGCCTCTGCCCCTGGCTTCAATCAGGGCAAAGCTTTGAAGGAGTGGATCTAATTGAAGGTAAGGAGGTAGGTATATTTACATCTTCAAGTGTAAGTCTGCTCCTTCTGAAGACTCCTGGGGGTTATTTATAGAACCTTGTTTGGTTTGGTTCTAGTAAAAGAAAAATGAGCAACCATCTCTGTGAGGTGGATGGGAAGAAGGGAGTGCCTGGGAGATGAATGAGGTCATCCAAAATGGCTTCCCCAGCTGCCAGCTTCACGGCCAGACCCTGGGTCCTCCTTAGTGTTGATGCAGCTGTCAGGGTCCGAATCTGGTTCATAGTCCTGGACCTCACGCTTCCCAAAGTTCCAGCTACCTGCCCAAACGTAGGTTCTGCTCAGACGTGCCTGTTCTGATATGGACAGGCCGGCTCACTACTCCTGTATAATATTACTGTCTTCCAAGATGCTCGAAGCTCCCAGAAGAACTTACTTTTTTTTTTTTACCAGCATTGTCAGGAGAACCTTATGTCAGTGTCAAAGACATTCTGCAAGACTGGTTGTTTTCCCTGTCGTGACTTAGAAGCCAGGATAGAACGTGTGTGAAGAAACTACCACGGACAGACAGCGTTTGAGGCGCTAGGCTGCCTCTGCTCTAGGTGGGGCCTCCAGAGAGACACACAGGGGGCTCTAGGGCAGCACTAATTCCAGAAATCTGCAGAAACATCCCACACGTGTCAAGACCACTGGTTCTAATCTTTTCCCTCCCTCTCTTCTCTCTCTCTTCTTGAGTTTTGAACTCTTTAAGAATCTGCTGAAATATTGAGAGCCTTCTTCTCCCCAAAACAAACACAGACCTAATTAATCCTCCATCACTTCTTACCACATGTAAGTCCCATCTTAAGAACCTTGGTCTAGAAGTTTAAAGAAAAGAAAAAGCACCCATGATGATCTCAACAAGCAAGTGACTGGAAACTAGGCTATCCAAACCTGTTTGTAGAGGTGGGGCAGGGGGCAGAAGAAGAAAAGGTTTTCTTTTTTTTAAAGATTTTATTTATTTATTTGACAGAGAGAGATCACAAGTAGGCAGAGAGGCAGGCAGAGAGAGAGAAGGAAGCAGGTTCCCTGCTGAGCAGAGAGCCCAATGCGGGGTTCGATCCCAGGACCCCGAGACCATGATCTGAGATCGTGACCTGAGACCATGACCTGAGCCGAAGGCAGAGACTTAACACACTGAGCCACCCAGGTGCCCCAAGAAAAGGTTTTCTGAGAGCAAGTGTTCTGTGAATGCCCAACTAGCCTTGTCTCCTTAAAAATTAACCAGGAGAAAAGCAATGACCTTGAGTTCCTGTGGGTTTGGACACCTGGAACCTCAGATTGCACCTGTTCTCTCACATCCTCTCTCCTTCCCTCCCTCGGGAGACAATGATTTGGAGGTGAGACACACACACCCCCACCCCAGCCTTGGATGTCTAGCGGGGTAGAGAGAGGTAATCACCATTCCACTTGAGGTGCTGCAGGTTGCCGTAGAGAAGCTGGCCCGCCGCCCCTGCCGCCCGCGTGAACTCCTGCAGGCTCATGCTGCACAGGTGCTCGCCGTTGACGTCGAACTCCTGGAAAGGGATGCAGGTGGCGTCCAGCTGGTTGGTGTCCAGGAGGTGCTGGAGCCACTCCCACACCTGGTACTTGGTCCAGTACTGAGGATGGATTTCATGCCACTGGCCTCCAAAAAACCCACTGGCAACTGTAAAACAGGGGGCGGTCCCGTGAGTGACCGGTGGTTCTTCCGGGACATAATCTCGGACATGGGGAGGCACCGCTCGGCTGCCAAGTGTAGGCACAATGGCAGTGGGGGTGTTGGAGCATGAGACGGGCTCTAGAGAGGAGGCTGTCTGGAATGTGCCTCCCTAACTCTTCCCATCCTCCCTAGCAGAGTACTTAGCCCTGGGCACTTCAGGAGGACACAGACCTGAAATGTCCCGAGATTAGGAGGGCATCCCACAAAGTACAGAGAAGGCTAACACATCGCTACAGTTTCACCAACCTATTACCTATCGTCCACACCCACACAGTTCCCTTCCTCTCTTTTCTCACTCCCATTTTTAACTGTCTCTTACACACACACACACACAACCCCAAATTCAGACCATTTTCAACCAAAAACGAGGCCTGAGAGTAAGATTCTTTTTCTCCATGATGCCTTTGCTCCTCCCCAGAGTGGTCCTGCTTAGCCGCCGGCTAACTGTGCTGATCTACCCCAGTCCACACCGGTTATTACAGCCGCTGTGATGTCACTTCCCTACTCTGCTGCCTTCAGGAGCTTCCCGTTACTCACTGAAATTGGGCAAAAAATGGCCAAGCCAGGCATCGAGGCTCTTCCGTAATTCTCCTCCAAGTGACCCATCACTTCTGCCCTTTTTCTCTGGTTCTTTCAGCCTGGTTTATATTCTGCCAGTCATTCCCTGTTGAATACTTACCCAGCTTGCAGAGTCCGGCCATCCCAAAAACCCATCACAGACCATCCCCCCCCAAAAAATTATTATTCAGGGCTTGATGGCCCCTGAATCTCCAACAGATGTTCTTGATATTTCTCCTAATGGCTTTTGTCATGTTCTGCTTTGCTTTACGCATCTCTAGGTTCTGGCTTATTCTCCTTTGTAAATTGTAAAGTCAAGGTCATGGACTCAGTCATCTTTGCCTCTCCTACAAAAACCACCTCAGAGACTATGCCATCATCATAGGTGCTCTCTGTATATTTCTTCGTGGAATTTTTTGCCAAAGAAGAGATAATGTAGAAATCTAGAAGAGTTCCAGGTGCATTCACAACCTGATTAAATTAAATACCAGTGAAGAAGTTAAGTTCGTCCAAGCTAATCGATATTGCTGAACTGGAGATGGGCTAAACTTCTACATAAGGGATTTCCCCGTGCTCCCTTCAAAGAACATCACAAAGTTAGCCCAAAGTGCTGGGAGGGGATGGAGAAGAGAGAGCCATCCTCTGCGCACATGGTAACGGACCTGAGATCTTACCGACCCCTAGAAAACAGAGGTCACAGGGAGGAATTCTCATCCAGGAATGATGAGAGGCAGGGATGAGGGGAAGACACTACTGGGAGCCCACTGAGCTGAAGTGGGGAACTGAACTTAAGGATAGACCAACAGCGGAAAACAGAGGGCAAGAAAACTGTCCCTACTTTTTTTTTCTTCAAAGGCACGTTAGATCAGTACTTCTCAAAGTCTAATGTGATTGTCAATCACCAGGGAATGTTGTTCCAATGCAGATTCAAATTCCATAGATCTGGAGTGAAGCCTGAGTTTCTGCATTCCTAGCAAGCTTCCATACAATGACGATGATGGTGATGATGACGATGAAGATGATGGCTCATGAATACGGTTTGAGTGCCAAGGAGCTAAAGAGCTCCAAAGGTTTGAGTCTCATAATGGCCATTCCCTAGCCCTCGGCACCCCCAGAGAGGCTGAAGGGGGAATGTGTCCAACCTAGTCCCACTTGTATTCATCCCCTCTGAATCCATGCCCTGCTTCCAGACCTCAGGAGCACTAACGGCAGGAGATGGAGGTCATTCAGGGACAAAGATGAGTGCCATGGGTCACGCTTACTACTCACAGTATGTCTTCACTCCTCATACATCATGGCCAGACAAAAGCAGCCCTAAAACCCTCTGCCTGGGGCCTGGAGGGGAAGCCAGTTGTGGTGGGGAACAGGGACAAGGATCGAAACAATCCTTATAGAAATCCTACAGAAATATTCCCAAATATAGAAACACACGGAACTCAGACTGAATACTTCCATGTCCCTCCAGTTGTGGGGTGTCTCACAAAAAAGAGCTGTTTAAGGATGGGATGTGGTTTTACGGCTCCCTGAGGCTCTGATCTTTTTTTCCAAAATAATTACATGACTATGACAGTACAGCTCTGAGTCTGCAAACAAGAGACAATAACTCTCAATAACCCGACAATAAGCTTCTCTATTTCCTCTTCCAACTTCACATGATCCAGACTAAAGAACAGTTCCCGATATCATATCCTGTTAGAACCTGGGAGAACCAGAGGATTTTGTCTCAAATCGACCAGGGGATTCTTCTAGCTGCCGGGGGGCTCTTTACATTCCCAAAGTTTTAGGAAAAGCTGTGAAATGCCTCTGAGTTCAGCTCTTGTCTGTTGATCAACTTACCTCCCTCACAGCATCAATCATGATTGGGAGCTGGGCCTTCTTTGGGGCCTCTGGAAGTTAAAACATACAAGTGGAACCCAAATACTACTCCCTGAAAAGCACACTGCCCCAGCTTTCTCCAAAGCATGCAGGAGGAATGCTGCCATGATCCAGGGCCCAGACTGGGAACGCCAAAGGCTTTCCAGTCTGAAGAAACTTCCTACCCAACTGGGAACCCTCCTTTGAGAGCCTCACAAAGAAGCTGAGGCCTGCCACAGCAAAGTTCACTGCCCAGAAAGGACAGCAGTTTTGTGGCTAAGTGACCAAGTAAGGGAAGGTCCCCTGACCACGCTTCCCAGCCCTGTTTGACTGGGGTTCCGCTGGAGAATACAACCCTTCCATTATCCTCCGCCTCCTGCTTTACAGACTCCACTCAGCGGCAGGTCCTCTTCTTTCCTCAGGAGAAGCAGGAGCAGCAGGACCTCCTTCGAGGAGATCAGCAGCAAGTATGGGGCAGGAGAGGGCCTGGAGCTCCTTAAACCCAGGGCAGCCTGAGGCACCGGAGTCTGCAAGACCTAAGGCCTTCACGGCAGGGGTTGGGGCCAGATTCGGCAACGTCTGAATTCTGCTCCCGTCCATAGTAAGCCACGGCTTGATCCCCAAACCCTTAAGCCCCCGAAGCTTAATAGAGGCTCAGGGCTCTAAATGAAAGCACTTAAGGGAGGCACATGGTCTCCTAACAAATCTCTCCCTTTACACAGGGAGGCCACTGGAAGATGAAGCAAAAAGGATAAGATGCTGTGACCCTGTCGTCCCTAAGTTCCATGCTTCTGCACAACACACACGCACACAGGTGCACACGCACACATGAATGCAAACACGCACGTGCGTGCACATGTGTGCACACACATACACACCTTCCCCCACACACACCTCTTTCTCGATATCCTATCTTGATATCCCAGCCAAATACTGTTAAAAACATCAACAGGTGGCCTTCCCTTCTGGCATATCTTCTAGCACCTTCTCTGCCAGGCTGCCTCGGATACTGGGAAGAAACGATGGAAAATCTTCAACGGGCTTCTATCTGGAGCCCCAGCAGCCCTTGGGGACCTCCAGCATGATGTGTTCTCCATTTCCCCGCATCCCCACACCCCTGCTGAATAAAATCTGTATTTTTCAAACATGAAGTTGGGAAATGAAGCCTAATGAGAACAGAGGAGGGGAAAGCCCCTGGGGGGCGTGACACTGACACCCATGAGGTCCCCTTACCATTGCACGTGGGGTAGCCATCTGTCCAGGCTGGCTGCTGGTGGAGGAGGTTGTTGCTGGGGTTGAGATTCATCACACCACTTCCTTCCAGAATCATGATCTGTAAGGGGACCAAACAGGGCGCTCAGTCAGGGCCTCCTGGACTAACGTCGTCTGAGAGCACAGATCATAGAGTTAACCCAGGAAGAACAAAAAAAAAAGAATTTGTCCTTCCATCCATTGCCTCCAAAGCGTGTTACCACAGCGCTTTCAGTAAAAGCAAAACTCCCCGGCAATTAAAAATTTCCAGGTTCAACTTTCATATGCATGAGGCAAGTTTTTACAGCCCCTTTTCATAAATGAATAATCTCTGATCAGGAATGAAGCAGAGGAAAAGGCAATAGCTGCTCACAGGGCGAGTCTGGCCAGCAGCCACGGAGCTGGGTTTTTTTTGTTTTTTTTTTTTCCTTTTTACAAAAGTGAAAATGCCAAAGAGATTTTGTGTGAAGTGGAATTACAATCAATAAAAATCCAAGCCTGTAGCGGCCAACCCCGGGCACCTGTGCGGGAGGTGGGATCTGAAATCCGACGTTCACAAGTCCCCACAGTGGAGCAGCTCTGCACTCAGACACGTAGACACTAAGATTCCTTAGTGCAGACAGCGGCCACAGCCACATCTCTGAGGACTTGAGTCCTGTGTCCCTAGAGCGCCTCCAGTATTGGTCTCCATGATAACATCAGGGATCAGTCGGTTTCTCCAACAAGACACTGCCCCTGTCCTTCCTTCCTGGTGAAAGTTCTGACAAGCTTTCTCTCTCTTTTTAGAGCCCTGGAGAATACCAGAGGCTTTGAAGCTCACCTGGACGTGACTTTCTCATCTCGTTTTTGCAGGAAAGGGCATGGAGGAAGAGCCTTTCTCACATGGGGCCGTTTGGATTTTTTTGAAACGACGTAAAAATGTTACACTTTAGAAACAGTCACCTCTGTCCTCAGAGTGTATATTGTTCCCTTCCCTGAGGCCAGCCACCCTCATCCTTTCAGACTCAAGCCCTAGAAATGTGTTCAATCACTCAGAAGAAGAGTTGCCTGTTTCCAGAAGGCGACCAAGCGTCCCTCATGGCCTGTAAAGATAACCTGCTCTTTCTAAGCTGTTGGGGCAGGGAGAGGAGGTAACCTTATCGCAGCAGCTCATGGAAATTTTTCTGCCTGTTTTGGGGAAACCTTGCATCCTTGGGTCTCACCAATGTCCCCAGGGTTGAAATTGATCAAACAGGGCAGTTCCAGCCCCCCAAACCCCTCCCTCTAACTTAGCTCTTACTTCTCTGATTCTAGGTAGGGCTTCAGAGAGGGGAAGAGGGGTCTGGCACAGGCATAAAAATTCATTCGTGTATTGATTTATTCAACAAATATTTACCTGCCTTATAACTGGTTGGGTACTGTTCCAGGGACCAGGGACAGAGCAGTGACTGGGAGTCAAGCTAGTCCAAACAGGACATTTGTGATGATTATTAACAGTGTCATGGTTGTTTGGCAAGTAATTAGGCCTGAATTCTGCCTAAGTAGCAGGTAGAGAAGGAAAGATAGGACCCCAGCAGACCACAGGCTGGGAAGAGGGCAGAGCCGGGTTCTGGGTGGTGGCATCATCTATGTGAGCTTCAAAGCCAGAAAGAGCTTGATTCCAAGCTCTACCCCTTACCAGCTGCTTAGTACTAACCCAGACAAGTCACTACCCTCTCTGAACCCGTTTCCTCCCATTCAGACTGCAAGTCGCCATACCTACTGTGTGCTTTGGCTGGAAGTTAAGTGGGTTTCTATGCCTGGAGTGCTCAGCACGAAGTAAGGCACAGCTATATGGCCGGTGTGATGAGAAGCAGACTTGCTCCCCCTCTGGTAACTCAAACCAGAAACAATCGCGGGCCTCAGTTTCCCCGCACAAAAATGTAAAGAAGGTGACTACTTCGATTCTTCTGTGCCCGTTCCGGAAGCCTCTTTGCTTCTCAATCCCGGAGAAGGGAGACCAACCCAAGTCAAACCTTCCTCTGCTTTTTCCCATCCAGCTTTCTAGAACACTTGCCCTCAGCTAAGCAATCCGATGGGGGGACTCCAGGGCAAAAGAAAACCTGCAGGTTCCCCAGAGAGGTGGCTGGGGGAGGGGAGGGGCATGGCCCGGTGTCCTGTTTGCTCAAGGCTGGGCTTGTTCCTTGGGCGTTTGTTCAACCACAAGCAGTAGAAAGGTTACTGTTTAACCCTGAAAAAGCTGAAGCTCAGAGCCCTGCCCATCTGCGGAGAGAAAGGACCGGCCCTTAGGCCTGGGGTTGGGGGTGGGGAAGCCTTCCCTGAAACGCTTTCGGAAGGGTTTTCTACAGGGCCGTTTCCAAGCGGCCGTTCAGTGGGAGCAGGCCCGGCCCTGGGCCAAGCCCGAGCTACTCCTCAGCCAGTTCAGGGTTTCCATTCCCCCCCGCCCTCCACATCTAGAAGGCAGGCTGATATGAGGGCTAAGCACCCCAACTTTGGATCTGGGGAGAGGTGGGCTCAGATCCTACATCCCCCACTTGCCATGCATGAGGTCAAGCCAGTCCCAAGCCTGTATAGCCCCCAAAAGTTTCCAATCCTCCCTTTCCCCAGGCATAAAATGAGAACAACCCCAGACTCAAAACTGAGAGAATCAAACGAGGTCGTGCGTGTGGAAAGCTTAGCAGGTTAGAACAAGGAATTCAATAAATGTCGCAGGACAGCACGGGCCACTTCTCCACTTGTGACCAAACGCCCACAAGCCCCTTCCCTTGGGGCAGGTGATCTTTTCTCTCTGCCATCTCCTGAAGGCATCTGGAACTACTCTCAACCCACAGAAAAGCCTTTAGGACCAGGAGGCCCCAGCAGCCCCAACACTGCCCCCCCCCCCCCCCCCAAGAGGCTGGCCTATGTGCAAGAGCACTGCGCCCTTCTGCTCCCCTCCCCTACCTGCCCCCATGCTCGCCGCCCCGCCACGTCCCACCCCCCACCCCGCCAGGGAAAGCAGCCAGCTCAGTGAAGGGCCTTTTTTTTTTTTTTTTACAGGGCACAGTAAATGGTTACTACTCATAAAAGAGTTTTATGTATCTTAACCCTTACTGAGTCAGAGTTCACTTGAGCTCACCCAGGCTCCTGAGAAAAGGAGGTCAGCCGTCATGGCGCTGCCTGGCGACTGCCCTGGGGTGGGCCCAGGAGGCCCAGGGCTAGCATCCCTCAGAGCCTCTCCCCAAGTCCTACTCCCTCTGAGGCCCAGTCCCTCAGGTGGAAAATGAGGACATTTGCCCCCCACCGACAGCCTCCCAAGTGTCTTGAGGAGATCAAATGAGATAATAGATAATAAATGTCCCTGGAGAATTGTAAAAAAGCATGATTATAACCAGCTCACCCACACTCCCATATACTAAAGTACACTTTCTATGACACGTAGGGATTACTTTATGGGGTATAAAAAGCGATCCTTTTAATTACAAAGTAGGGGGATTTTTTAATGCTCCTCTGTAAGCTTCCCAGTTTACCATCAGAGTAGATTTTATTGTTTCTTGAAGAAAAAAGCATCACTTAGATACAAGTAGAGAGCAGACGTCCCATCCATACACCACATGACCTTGAACAAGATAACCTTTCCAAACTGAGTTTCTTCTCTGGCCTTCAACGGGGCATGGAGGGGAAGGTCGATGTCCTGTTTTGAAGGATGAATAACCTACTGGTTTGAAAGAGGGCTAGTCCAGTACGGCACATGTGTCCTCCAGCAAAAATTAGTTTCTTTTCCTTTCTTTAAACATCAATTCTGAAGGTGTTTCTCCACCACATTTAGCTTGTTCCCAAGACTGGAAGAAGTAAATTCGGAGCCTCAATAAGAACGATTCCACCTTTTGAATCAAAAGCAAGCAGAGAAAAGAACCCTCGTCTCCTCATCTCTATCTCAAGGGGGAATTCTGGCAATGACCCCGCCTCGTGCTCAGGGTGAGAAGCCGACTTTTTCAGCGTCTGTGAAACTGACATCCTGGGCTGCGAGGGCTCCATGGCTGTCCATGCAGGATGGTAGCTGTCTCCCCAGACTCTAGCCACTGCAAGCCAGACACAACCCCCGCCAGGCCCCTCCCCACAAAACGTCCCCTGGGGCCAAATCACTCACCCCCAACCCTGAGAACACTGGTTAAAAGGGAGCCTGTGGTGGCAGCAGGCTTTGATCATGCTGGTGTGGTGACCTTGGGCTGTCCCCTAACTTTTCTGAACTGCTGTAGCCTCTCCTGGGAGGCCAGCCTGGCATTAGGACCTACAGCAGAGGTTTGCTAGAGGATTAAAAAAGATAAGGGGCTTTAAAGCCCCCGCCCCATGCAGTGCTTGGTACAAATAAAGAGTAATTGCTTGGTAAGTGGTGGTGAAGAAAATGCAGGGGCATCCGGGCCACCTTTGTCTCTTCCTAGGTGCTGTGCGTTCTGGGAATAGAGCAGAAACTTCTTTCAAACCCAAAGTGAAATGAAATGTGGATTATCCAGAGGTTTTTTCCATCTGCATTCTCTTACCCCTCCCTCCCTTCACAAGAGGCATCAGGGAGAATGGTATTTGACTCTGCGCCCCCAGCGATGGTCCCGAGTTCCACACTCAGCCAGGACCTCGCCCTCTGCACTGCATTTCCTTTCTTTCTCCCTCCCTCCCTCTCTTCTTTCCTTCCTTTTCTCTTTCTTTCTTTCTTTCTTTCTTTCTTTCTTTCTTTCTTTCTTTCTTTCTTTCTTTTTCTTTCCTTCCTTCCTTCCTTCCTTCCTTCCTTCCCTCCCCTCTTTCTTTCTTTTTAAAGATTTTTTTAAATTATTTTAAAGTAATTTCTATACCCAACACGGGGTTCAAGCTCACAACCTGGAGATTGAGAACCACATGCTCTTCCAACCGAGCCAGCCAGACGCCCCAATCTGCACTGCAGTTTCTAAGACCAACACTTTTGGAGACAGAAGCCTGCTCTTCGTTTAAAAAGGGGGAGGCACGCACACTGCACTGATGCCTACCTCACGCCGGGCTTCCAGTCAGGACCTATTTGACCTTGGGCATCAACTCCCCTACAAATGATGAGCCGCTAGAGTTTGGCCAATCCCAAAGGCATTTTTGCAGAGA